CAACTTCACCCGCAAGATCTCAATGCCGGTCAGAATGGCATTGGCGCACATGGCCTCCCCAGTCTCTGACTCCTCGAAGTTGTCCAAAGAGCTCCGCAATCCGGAAATTTCTTTCCGGGCCTTCTTCAAGGATTTCTCGGTCTCCTTGTGGGCGTCATGCAGCCTCTTCTCCTCCTCCTTGAGGATGTCAATCTCGCTGGCCTGGGCACCGGCTTCCTGCGCCAACGCTTCCTTCTCAGCTTGCAGGTCGGCCAACTTCCTGCGCTCCTCATCCAGGGCGCCCTGGAGCCGCGACACTTCCATGGTCGCAGTCATCTGGGCGTCCTCGCATTCTTTCGCAAACTGCTCACGTCGGGCAGTTGCGTTCTCCAAGTCCAGTCTCAGCTGCGAGGCAGAAGAGGATGCCTCGAGTGCCTCCCGCTTGGTCTCGTTGAGGCGTCGGGCGCCTCTTTCAGCAAAAAGAAGGATCTGCAACAGTGAGTAAGAAATCAGCAAGTTATGCAAACACCAAAACCATTCCTTAAACTTCCAGAAAGCACAAGTAAAAAACACGTACCTTGGCGCCCACTTGGGCTAGCTCAGCGAAGAGGTGATCCCCGTTCACCTCGGTCGGCACCTGCCACGACTTGGCAGCCGCAATGGCCAAGCCCATGGCACATCCTCGGTCAACGGCGACCAAGGGGGAGCAGTTCATATTCACACGCCCCACATCAGCCCGCCGTGGCCGGAATATTGGCGGGAGCCCGTCGGGGCCAACGTAGCACCCCTCTTCGTTGAGGTGGAGCTGGGCGTCCTTCCCCGCCTCCTCCTCCACCTCCACCTCATCGCAGGCGTCGTCGTCGACGCCCACCTGCCTCTTTCCCTTATCGGCCCTTTTGCTGGCCGAAGCTAAGGGGGAACCAGCTCTCTTCCCCTTTCGGAGCAAAGGCTCCTCCTCTTCTTCTTCTTTCGCGGAGTTGACCTCCTTCTCCGCGGGGTCGGAGTTAGGCGCCCCCTCGCCTTCCTCCGGAGCAGACGAGGCCACGCTCGCCGTGTGCGCACGAGCAGTGCCACCCTTTACCGCCCTCTTCTTCTTCTTCTTGGGGCCAGCCGCTGGCGCCCGTGATTGAGTGGCAGGCGCTTCTTGTGGAACAGGCGCCTCTTGTTGGGCAGCCGCCGCCGCGGCCGCCTCCGCCGCCATAGTAGCCAGCCGACTCTTCATCAGCTTGGCGATGCTCGAGTAATCCGCCCCTGCATATGACGAAAATAAGTTAGTCCATAGCACAAACATGGGAGCAAAGAAATAGAACACCTAGACGCCTACACACCATCGTTATAGTACGCCTCAATAATAGGCGGGCGGTTTTCGGCGGGGCGTAAGTCAAAACCACCGGCGCGTTAAAGGCCTCGACCTGACCCAACTCCCATTTCCTAACAAAGGCGCCCCCACTTGCAAGAAAGGAGTCTCGATAGGCCTTCACGAAGAAAAAACCGTTGAACCAGCTTCGGTTCAACTTGGGACACTTCTTCACAAAATGATAGGGGCGCTTCTTTCGTTTCTGGAGGGACAAACAATTGTCAAGAGGCACCATCTTGAAGAAATATCTGAACAAGTTGAAGGTGGGCTCCACGTTATGCTCCCGGCACCTCAACTTGAACAGAATCACGACCGTGATAACCGAGGGAGATAGGCGCCCGAGGGGACAGGCGCAGGTCGTCAGGATTCCCTCCATGATCGAGTCAAGAGGAAACTGTAGCCCGAAGCGGAAGTACTCTTGATAAATCCCGATCCACTTCGGGCCACAGACGCCTACCCGGGACAGAGGCGATGGGGGCGCATACCACCAATCTCTGGGAAGCTGGAGACTGGTCACCAACTCATGAATACGGTCCAAAGTGACGGTTGACGTGTGTTTCGGGCCGGCCACCTCGAAGGGTAAGTCAGACGTCTCGTTGGGCAGATGATTGGGAGGAAAACACTTCTCCCACGAGGTGATCTTGTAGGACCCATCGGCAGGCAAGAAACCAGGCGCCGAAGAACTTGATGGCCCAGCAGATGATGACGGTCCGCCAGATGCTGAAGCAGGCGCCCGCTCTAAACCAACAAATGACCCACACGCAACGCGGACACGGGGTAAGTGACGCCCCTACCCTAGGTGACTAGAATAAACTCAACGAAACCAACGAAGGAAAAAGGACCACTTACCACGTTGAACTGGGCGCCTTGTGTCACTACCCACGCCAGAGGCGCCCGCGCCCGAAGCACCCGCACCAGGTGCGCCCGCGCCCGAGGCGCCGTGGCCGGAAGACTTATCTTGTTGTGGGGAAGACATTTTGGACGGAAGCGCTGTGTCGGAAGCAAAGACTGACAAGAAAGAGGACAGAGGTCAGAGCGGAATCTAGAGAGAGGTCAGAGCAAAATTCTAGAGAGAGGTCAAATGGAAGAAAGTGACAGCATCACAAGGGGGAGGAGTATTTAAAGAAAAACGAATGCCCCACCAAACCTCCCCGCTGTGTGACACGTGTCAATCCTCCCGAATGAACCCTTCCGCTTCCCCCACCTTTTGGCCTTTTCGCGAGCCACGAGACCCCGAGCGGACCCTTGAGCTTCCCCCACCCTTTCCTTTTTGGGGAAATTTCTCAACTCCCAATTTCGAATTTTCTTTTTTTAAAAAAATTCGACATTCCAAATTTCCCCGGCAAGCAAAGCGGACATTCCAAAAATTCGACATTCAAGGAGGACACCGCGAGAAGGCGCCTATAAAAAAGGATCGCGGAAAGAGAACACACGAAGCAGTGAGCCTAGGCGAGGATCGAACGCCCGAAAGTGAGGGGTAGTTGGAAAAGGCGCCCCATTTGGCGATAAGCGTAGAAAGTGAGGGGTAGTTGGAAAGGGCGCCCCATTTGGCAAGAAGCGTAAAAGCACATAGAAGAGCGTACGGCAAGGAGCACCGCCAAAGGTGTGACGCCCGCCCGCGAAAGGGGAGAAACAAACGCACCCCGTCGGATCAGGAAGGAAGTGAAAACATGGTGCAGGCGCCGGGAGACAAACACCCTGTAACTAAGAGAATGCCGGATCACAACTAGAGGTTCAGTCAGGCGCTCGAAGGCGGAGCCACGAGCACCTAACTGGGGGGGGGCAATTGTTGGGGGTATTACCCAGCAATGAGGAGCTTGGGCTCCCAAAGAAAGAGTTGGGGGGCAAGGCCCAAAAAGAAGGAATCCACTAGAGGCCCTTGGGCCCAGACAAGAGAAAGGACCCAAAGAATAAAACACCAAAAGCCCAGTGGCGGCCAGCTGTCCGGTGGACCACTGCCTGCGGGCGCCTGTCATGTGTCAGGAGCCTGGCAGAGCAGAGGGATGCCTGTCATGTGTCAGGAGCCTGACAAGGCAGTTAGTTGTCTCACAGAGGGGGCACAGAGCATTAAATGAGGATGGTGACGTGGAGGAGATCAGCCTCGGGTTCGGTGAGTATAAATAGGGGCAGTCGATAGCATTTATGCAGGTTGGACTCTCTCTCACTAAAATACTACTTAAGAACACTGCCCTCTCCAAGATACTAACTTGGGCGTCGGAGGATTAACGGGCCGGGGCGCCCTCCTCTGTGTGTGTGTGTGTAGGTCGACGCCAGGCGAAGGGAGACGTCCGAATAGCGAGGGGGGTATAGTGGCTCAAACACTTATCACTATTCTTTATGAGTTCTTATACTCTTCCAAAGAGTCTCCTACTCTTTGAAGTTTGTTGGGGTCGAACTATATCTTTATATACATTCAAAATCCTACCTGACAAATTATATAAAAGATGTTGCCTTTACAAATGAAGTTTTGGGTAAAAGTCACGTGTGAGACAATCACTCATTTGATAGATGGAATACGAACAGTTCAACTGAGTATCAGTTCGCGCCCATACAATGTTGCTTATCTAGTACAATCCCTCGCCAGGTGAATTGCCGTTTGAGAATTATGCATGGCCTCTTCACACGGATCGAGAAAAAGGAGTTGAACAAAGTTCTTGTGTGAGTGTTAAGGTGTAGAAATTGCTCTTACTTGACCAAAACAGCAAAATAAACTCACTTGTGCTGCAGAAAGTACAAAAATCGTGATGTTGTTCATAAAAGAGAACATAAGACTCTCAATGTCAAATTAATGCAAAGCTATGCTTGAAAGTCAAAATAATCTAATCATGAACTTAATAAGTTGACCAGGCGCCGAGGGTGTCTTGCCCGGTGGTTCAGCCAGGGACTCAGGTGGCTGATTCTCGATTGGTTTGCATGTGGGATGGGGCCACTAGGAGGGGGTCACACCCGGCTGGTGGGATAGTGCTTTTTGATCCGGTGTGGACGCTCCTTTTGGCTAAAGGGGTGCAGATTCTTCAAATTGATGAGCCAATGGTAGTAGAGTTGCTTGTGCTTCGGGAGGCTATTATTTGGTGTTTAGAGTATGGCTTGTCAGAAGTTCGGTTCGAGGGCGATGCGAAGGACATTATCGACAAAATTAATCAAGCCGACACAAGCGACAGTCAGTTGGGGGCAGTCCTAGAAGAGATATGTCAGTATTTTCGTGCCCATCCTGGGTTTAATGTGCAGTTTGTATGTCGGGAGAACAATAGGGTAGCTCACTCGGTAGCTAGAAAAGTCCTCTCTTTGTACCCGACTGTTAGTCGCTTCTTTGATTTTCGGGTCTGGCTGTTTTCCAGGATGTAACTATCTATTTGATTGGATTAATATATGATATCTTTTGGGGTAAAAAAATCCCGTTTAGATGACTGGTTATTTTTTTGCCACGTATATGAGTCTGCTAACCTCGCAAAGTTGTGATCTGGACCCAGATTTACATTGTCTATCGGCTGGTAAACAGTATTGTTTAGAATTCTGATTTAGTTTGGTTAATATTAGTTTGGAGAGCTATAACCATACTAAGAATCTGAATTTGGCAAGAATGCATATCTGAAGATTGCTAGTATAAACGACTTAACCAAAATTTGATATTTTTGTTAGCACTTTAGTACTTTTGGGCAGTATTTAATATTTCGAAAACCATCTGATCACTTTTCACGAAAGTCGGCGATTTGATCACCAAGTGGTGTTTTGCCTAGAATTTACGCCATAGCTTACTTCCACCTGAAAGTAGAAGGAAAATAAAACAAGGGTAAAACATTATTGTGAAACAAAACCAGTTTCTTTACTACCTTGAAATCGTAGTTCACTCTATCAGGTCCAGAAGTTCACGATTCAGAGGCCGTTCCTATAAGCAACTGAATTACATTTGCAGGGAAGTGAGTTTACGCAGTGAGGAATAGCACAACTATGGACGAACAGAAAAGATTACACAATAGAATTACAATAAACGAGTAAGACCAGACCACAAAATTAGAGGAAGATAATAGGGTACACATATACGACGGCTATGATCTGCAAATCAAACCAGTTCCTTACCGTAGCTCCTCCATTATGCCGAGCCAAATTCAGCAAACCATTTCTCATGCCTTTCTATATCGGCTTGGGAAACGCTAGGTTGAACCTTCTTAATGGCCTCCTCAAAATCACACATGGCCACCGGATCATTGGAAATCTCGTCCTTGGACATGTTCTTGATCTCATCTCGTGTCTTTCCAGCTATCTTGCGCCTCATCCCATTCAGAGAAGCATCCCTGCACACATTTGTAAGATCATCTCCACTGTACCCCTCTGTCCGCCGAGCCACATCATCGATATCTACATCGACAGAAACCTAAGATATGCAAACACATGAGTTGGTGGTAAGTGGTAACTGCTACATGAAAAACCTATGACGCGCACATGGACAAAAAAGAAGAAAGAAAATAAAAATGGAGAGGGAGAGGGATTGTAGCAAACTATCTGCAGCGCGTAAAAGTACCCAAGACCAGAAACTTGCATAAGAGATTATTTAGAAGGCTCTATCACTTTCAACAAATCAGAGCACGCCATGGGAAGACTGATATTTAGTAAAACGGTGGCTGACTCAGTCCAGATGTTCGCAATACCCTACACAGATGGACAAGCTTTTGCATCTCTTTTCTAGTTTCCATTTATTTAGTTATTTCTTATCATTTATTGGAAGAGGTGGGAAATGAGCACCCGACCTATCCAGAGCCCATGATTCAATTGCTAGGGAGACAAAGTGTGCTTTGTGTTCAGACCTATGATTCAAGAAGCCATGTAAACTAGACTGCAGTTCCCAAATATTACATCTACTTGAAATTCCAGCTAGGTCCATGTTAGAAACACGTTTTCTAAGGAAAACGAGTTTCTATATTATCATTATTATTAGGTTTTATTAAATATGGTTAGTAGTCTTTTAGTAGAATTAGGTTTAGTATTAGGTTTTCTTATCTTTCGTTATAAATATGTACTTTGCGTTTTATTCAGAAGGAAGCAAGAACAATTATTCAGAAAAGTATCTCAAACCCTAATCTCTCTCAAATTCGTCACTTATCCCTAGGCCGTCGGCCATTCTTCTCCTCGATCCCCAATTTCCTCTTCTAAATCCCTAATCCCCAATTCTGTTCTTCCCCAAGTCTATCTCAATCCCTAAATATCTATCAATTCCCAATCTTATCACTCGATCGTTAGAACCCTAGAAATAGGTTTCTAACATTTGGTATCAGAGCCCGGTTTCGAGAATTGAGTTCACCACAACTCTCAACCGGGGACGATTTCTACAACTGGTTCGACGATGAGCTCTTCAAAGCTCTCGAACCTGTCGTGGGCAGAATTGCGGGACAGAGCCCGTCGCATCGGCCGCCGTTGGCTGCCCGAAGAGCCGACGGTCGAGCTGTCTGGCGCCGCCCCAATCGCGCGTCTCCCTTCATCGGCCGAGACAGCGCCGCGCGCTGGAGGAGGTCGGGCCGAGCAGCATCGCCCCGCGGTAGTCGAGGCCGCGCCGCGCACGGGAGAGGAGAGGGCCGAGCGGCGCCCCGTGGTGCCCGCCGCAATCGGATGTCGTGGGCTGTCCGAAGGGTCGCGGACTGCGCAAATAGAAGACGGCGGGGAGCTTTCCCACGCACCGCCGGAGAGGGAGTTTTGTCCGGCGGAAGAAAAGAGAGAGACGGAGGAAGAGGGCGGTGGTCCCCTGTTCCTGACCGACGAGCAGGCCAAACAGATGGCGGCACCGCCGGGAGAGGGAGTGCAGGGGGCGGAGACAGGGAGGACGCGGCTGGCGGCGGGTGACGCAGAGGAGGGAGCCACCTCTCTTCTTGCAAACCCTAGTTTGCCTTCTTTGGGCCAAGGAGCAGAACAGGAGCAGCCCTTTCAGTTGGTCCGAGTGGATGGGCTTGTTTTAGGCCAAAGGAATTTGCAGATTGGGCCACAGCTACAAAATAATTGCCCTAAGAAAGGGCATGAGTGTGTGCTAAAAGGAGACCAACAAAGATGGGCCGAACAAGTAATTCGGTCCGGGCTCAATAATAAAATGAACAGCTGGGTTCAAGGAACAGATGAGTCAAGTCTTCAAGAAAGAGTTGGGCTTCAAATGGGCCCTTTGGTTAGATCACTTTTATATGGAGTGGGCTTCATTCGAGTAGTGGAGCACGATTGGAAGAAAAGAAAGCGCAAGAATGGAGGAGGCAAGGCGTGGATTGCACGGTAGGCTTTGAAGAAATGGGTCAAACTGATTAACTTTGAGGGCAAGGTTGATCTCAAGGGGGATGAGATGTTAGAAACACGTTTTCTAAGGAAAACGAGTTTCTATATTATCATTATTATTAGGTTTTATTAAATATGGTTAGTAGTCTTTTAGTAGAATTAGGTTTAGTATTAGGTTTTCTTATCTTTCGTTATAAATATGTACTTTGCGTTTTATTCAGAAGCAAGCAAGAACAATTATTCAGAAAAGTATCTCAAACCCTAATCTCTCTCAAATTCGTCACTTATCCCTAGGCCGTCGGCCATTCTTCTCCTCGATCCCCAATTTCCTCTTCTAAATCCCTAATCCCCAATTCTGTTCTTCCCCAAGTCTATCTCAATCCCTAAATATCTATCAATTCCCAATCTTATCACTCGATCGTTAGAACCCTAGAAATAGGTTTCTAACATTTGATACCAGATCTCCTAAACCCTAATCTCCCTATCTTCCCAATTCTCGATCTCAATCCCTCTAAAGGCCTCGGCCGATTCCCTTCTGTTCTTCCCCAATTCTTCTCCAAATCCCTAATTCTATCTTCTCAAATCCCTAAATTCCCAAATCTCACCCAATACGAATCCCGTTAGAAACTTTGTTTCTAACATCTGGTATCAGAGCCATGGTCGAAACTTTGAGTTCGTCACAACTCTCAACCAGGGACGAACGAGTATATGAAGACTTCAAACCTGACAGCATGAGGATGGAGCTACGACGTAGCGTTGTCTTGTTCTTCACCTTGCCTGGATTCGAAGAGGAGCACGTAGATGTGCAGGTGGTTGGATCTGATGTGCTAGCAATAACGGGACAACGACCGTTGGCTGATGATCACAGGTGGCTACGATTCAAAAAGCAAATCAGATTCAGAGCAACCCACGACATCAAACGGTATCGTACTAAGTTCGGAGAAACTGCTTTCATCCTTCAAATCCCAAAAATTATCGCACCTCCTGTCCACAACGAGGAGGCAACAAGCGAAGTCCCACGACAGGTTGAGGAGACGCCGGTGAATCTCGAAGCACCACCACTGCCGCGCGACATTATTGAACCACCAGCCACGACGATGAACGAGGAGGGAGAACCAGCAGAGAGCGGCATGGAGGCGGTGGTGGCCAAATCTCAATCTTTGATGTCCGAGGCAAAGAAGATGATTGAGGTTCCCCCGCTGTCATCATCAATAAGTGACTCGGCCGCAAGCATGGTGGCCGCTGCCGCGGCAATGGAGACGACGCCAACCTCGTTCGACAATTGGAAGTTCCGGAAGAAGAGAGAAAGATCAGAAGATGGTTTTGGTGTTGAGAAACGGAATAATCAAGGAGGGGTGGTCGCCTGTCTCCCAAAGGGTTGGAGAAAAGAAGAGCCGTCGAGGGTTCGAGAAGAATCTACCGGGAACGGGATGACGACGCAGAACGTCACTCCACCCTTGCCATTCGCTGTGGCGGGCGCCGTCCGAATGACCTCGCAGATGGAGACCCGCTCGACACGGCCAGCCTTCAATGCCGACAATGATCGACAACGCGTCACGGTGGTGAGAAGCAATCCGGGTGGCTCATCGGGACTCCAGGGCAAGCCATTGAGGCGACGGTTTCCAGCTGCTCCAATCGTCGCGGCGACGTCACTAGAGGTAAAGGGCCACCGAGTGCATTCCCCGGAAGCCCGAATTGCGCATGAGGTGCCGCGATTGGCAGTGGCTTCGGTTGCATCCACCAAGGAGAAGAAGCCAGAGGATGAGATGGAACAAAAGGCGGAGGTCGTGGTGGACTGGCCACCGGGTCATCGGCGAGATCGCGCGCCACCAAGAAGGGAAACGCCGGCGAAGAAATCGTGGTCGGGGGCGAGACGTGACTCCGGCTCATCGCAAGAGGAGAAGAAAGTGAAGGGCGACGAGGTTTCCCGGTCGGAGAACGAGGTGAAGAGGCCGCCGACCGGGAACGAAGAGAAGAAGAAGGGCGGCATGGATTTCTCTTCTTCCGGCCGGACGTCAAGCGACGAGCAGGCGGAGTCGATGGCGATGATTGCCTGGTCAAGCTTGCCTCTTCTCCACGGGATGGGCGACTTGCCGGAAATGGAGACGGGGACAGGGTCGAAACCGTCGACGAAGGTTACGAAGACGGACGGGCCGATGCTGAGCGTCGAGACGCGGGATGACGGCGGTGGCAGCATTCTGCCTGCAACCCTATGTCGCACCCGCAAACGGCCTGAGAACATGGGCCAAGGGATTCAAGCTGTGAAAGGGGATGGGCCAGCCGAAGTGGGCCAAGCAATGCGGGCCGAGTGGCCTGATGGGATAACTCTCTGGTCAAGGAAGAGAGGAATGGGCGAACCGGATCAGCGGATTGGGCCAGAGTTCATAGTTGTGTGGGCTGAGCAAGGGCTCGGATCTGGGCCGGGGTTTGCTAGCCAAAATGTTGAGGAAGGTCACGGGCTGGCAATTAATAAGAAGTCTGATGGGCTCTCCTTGGGCTGGATTCCAATGGACTATCTTATTACATTTAGTTTGCAGGGAAGTGACGTGAAGAAAGGAAGTAGTGGGCTCGTTGAGTTAGGAGTCGGACTTTCAAGGAAGGTTGATCCAAATTCACTTGGAAGCGAATGGAGCCCAAAGAAAAAGCTTGTCTTCATCGTGCACATGATGGAATCAATGGAGCTGACAATTGAAGGTTTCAAGGTGGCTGAGAGGCACAAGGAAGGACAGTTCTCCGATTCTCATTTTGTGAATTTCGAAAAGGAAGATGACGAACTGTTCGGCTATGCAAAACGTGACATGTGTCACGTGATTCAAGAAGGGTCAAGGAAAGTTGGAGTTCTGCGAGCAGAGTTCATTCGAGTAGTGGAGCACTATTGGAAGAAACGGAAGCGCAGGAAATGGAGTCAGGGTGCAGAGTTGGTCAAGTGGTTCAACCTTGAGGGCAAGGTTGGTCTGAAGGGGGAGGAGATGTTAGAAACCGATTTCTGTAGGGTTTCTTTATTTATTAATATAATTATTATTAGGGAAATTATCAATAAGGGTAGTAGTTATTTACTAGGATTAGGTTTATTATTAGGGTTTCCTAGTACTCCCTATAAATATGTACTTGTGATTCATTAGTAGGCAGAAAAGAAAGAATTATCAAAGAATCTCCTAAACCCTAATCTCCCTATCTTCCCAATTCTCGATCTCAATCCCTCTAAAGGCCTCGGCCGATTCCCTTCTGTTCTTCCCCAATTCTTCTCCAAATCCCTAATTCTATCTTCTCAAATCCCTAAATTCCCAAATCTCACCCAATACGAATCCCGTTAGAAACTTTGTTTCTAACAGTCCACTATCTCACAGGACTAGAACTAGATTCTTTTTGAGAATTGAAATGAAAATTCTCCTGTTGGAAGTCCATTGGTGTCACCAAAATTGTATTCCCCTCAGCTTTGGTATTCTTTAGTTTCATGTCATTCACTACATTCCTTCCTATGGCTTGACCTCTGGGATGCAAAAGGGTGGCTGATCTTTATAGATAGATCAATATTCATGATTATCTCTCATCTGCGTTTAACTGAATTCAGATGTCATGGCTTCAGCTAATTTTTCCACAAACTGGTTGAAAGTATGATGCAAAACACGCACAAAATCACAGAAACAATCAATTATATGAATATTGGATTTGACAGAACATACCTCCACGGTTTTTAAGTTTATCTTAATAAGCTCCCTGCGACTTTCAAAATTTGGAAGTGGAATATAAATACGCTTTTCCAATCTCCGCCTGCATTGCATTATCATAATTATAGGTAACAAATGTAAACAGCTCAGACACGAAAATAAACTATACACAAAAAGAAAGATGCAATACCTCAGAGCTTCGTCGATGTCCCATGGAAAATTAGTAGCTGCCAGGACCATCACTAATTTCCTGGTTCCATCTTCATTAGTGGCACTGTTGCTTACACCATCAACTTGAACTAGAAGTTCAGACTTGACTCTTCTTGATGACTCGTGTTCCCCTGAAGCACTGAACAATAGAAGTTAATTCAGTTAACCAGAGTCATTACTCTCATCAAGGTTTACTGTTCACCATACACAAAGCCTCGCATAGTGAAACATGAGCCACTGACCCAAAAGACAGTCAAACACAGAGGCATAACAATGTAAGTAGCTTAAAAGAAATCAAAGCTGGGGAAAAAATCTTACCCTCTGGAATTGCACAAAGAATCAATCTCATCAATAAAGATGGTGCTTGGTGCATATGCACGTGCAAGGTCAAACAAGCATCGAACCATACGCTCACTCTCACCGCGCCATTTAGAAGCCAAGGTGGCAGATGAAACATTAAAAAATGTTGTACCACACTCAGTAGCGACAGCTTTGGCGAGTAGAGTCTTTCCCGTACCAGGAGGACCAAACATAAGGACACCTTTCCATGGTCTTCTAATGCCCTGCCATACAGAAAAGTTAAGAGTAGCAGTATTAGCATGGAGGATCATAAGTCTACTATTAAAGAAACTGCCATGGAAGCTAAAGGATGTTGATTTAGAGAATACAATGCTGAAACCAAACTCATGAAAATGCTTCAGTTTGCTATAATCTCTTGAGCATACCTGGAAATATTCAGGCATCCATAAAGGAAGGACCACAGCTTCTTCCAGAAGTCTTTTTGCTTCACTCAGTCCAGCAACATCATCCCATCTCACCCCAGGGGTTGTTTCTAAGACATCTCTTTCAAGCATTGCAGCCAAGTCTCCATCTGGTCCTTCGTATTGGGCCTTCTTAGATTTTCCATCTTCAACATCCTCAATCTAAAGAACATGTATGCAGAGATGATGTTAGGTCAAAATGGTCATAGCTCCAGATTGACAAGAAAAGGAATCAATGTGAAATTAAGCATCCAAATGACAACCCAAATGGAATTGTACGAAGTTCTTGCTACTGTAATTAACTAACGTCTCCAAGATTCAAAGTATTGAATCAACCACTCCTAAACCTACGAGAAATGAGTGGAGCAAAGCTAAACATCCTCTTGTTTTATCTAAGAATAAAAGGACTAGAAAGAATCCAAGGCACTTGAAATATAGACCGAAATATAGGAAAATTTCCCGTGTGTTAATGGAACTCACAACTGAATCTGCCTTGCCAGACTTTCCAGCTGCTGCAGTGGTCTTCTTTCCAGCAGTTGATGCGCGGACACCGGTATTCACCTTGCTTGAAGCTGTAATCTTTCCACCACGGCCAGCTGGTCCTGTTCTAGTTGAAGCACCACGTGCCCAAGCTCCATCTTGAGGTGATTTCCTCATCCCCACTTGGCCAGCCCTTCCTGGTCTCCTAGTTGAATTGTCCCGACTTGGTGGCCTCCACACATCAGGATCATCCATAGAAGCACCAGAAGAGGTTGGATACTCATCTAAAGGTTGGAAGACAAATGATGATTTAGTATTGATTGGTGGGGAGGCAGGACGGCGTGTGGCAGGAGCTTCCTTAAATGATTTTCTTTCAACATCTAACTGCTTCACAACTTCTGCCTCCTCTGAAATGGCCTTCTTGACATTCATCCATTTCGTACGAACTAAGGGGTCATCAAGTGTGTTAAGGTGCCTGAATCAAAGGCATCGTAACATGTTACTATGAATAGATTCAATCAAGCAGCTGATCATGCAGCAATTCAAATTTTGTACAACTAGGGCCTCGACCAGCATCCCAGATAAGCAACATATTAAATTTCACAAGCATGGAAAACAAGTCAATCTGCAAAACTAACTACCTTATGCCTACTACTGTTTCTCACACAGAAAAAAAGAACCCATTTACGCATCTAGTTCAAACAATAACCATTTCCCACTTACAGAATGCATAGTTTTATCTTAACAAGCTCCAACCAAATCCGATAAGAGAGCAACTATAACATTCAAATAAAGCATTCGAACTGAATGCAATGTGGGCACAAGTATAAACTCGGTACGCAAATTTCAGCTCGAAATGCACCATTTCCGCTTGAATCCTTGATTAAACTAACCAATTAACGAGAATAGAAGAAAACAATAAAATTTCAAAGCAGGCAAATCTGATACAGATTCAGCATTGCAAGCCAAGAGAACAAAGGAAAAGCAAAAAGGGAAGGCTCCAGTGAGCAAAGGCAAAGAGATGGAAAAGAGCATGAAAATTACTTGTTGATCTGCGCAATGGCGCCATCGAAGAAAATAATGGCAGTGTCGTAGAGGCCTTCAAGAGCGTACTCCCTTGCTAATTTCAAGTGATCTTGCACTCCAGCCAGTGACGTTCCCACCATTTTTCAAAACCACGGAACGAATCTAGGGTTTCATAACCTCTCTTCCTTCCCGAATCTCTCTCCCTCTCTCTCTCTCTCTCTCTCTCTCTCTCTCTGGATCTGTGACTGAATAAGTCGCCCGGTGTAACTGGTTTCTCCGCTTCTCCTTCTTTCTGCGGCTAAGCGCGCGACAATCACTTCGCCGAGGCAGTGAGAAGAGAACTGCTGACGGCGACGTTTAAACGATTCAGAGACGGGGAAGAAGGCCTAGTTTGAATTGAAAGGACCAGTATGCCCTCCCTTTGTTTAAAGTTGAAACGGCATTGCTCCTCCAAAAAGCCCAAACCTTCATGATTAGGGATCTGTGCCTTTTCTTTTTTTTCTTTGTATCCTTTGATCCTTTCTCATTTGAATTTTGATGGCTTTTTTGTGCCCCCTTCACTATCAGCATTTCAAATTTGATGTGGATCTTGCAAAATGTATCTGATCTTTGAAGTTCAAATGCAAGTCGCAATACTTCCTACGACGTTTCCTTTCCCTTACTTCCGAGCTCGATGACAATGAACCCACGGGCATCCTAGCCAAACTTTCTCTGAATCTGTCACATACAGTCGGTTCCACGTACATCATACATTCTCGTACGAAAATCCAAAATCGCTACAAGTAATTGCAAGCAGCCAATTCTGTTGGCCGAGACTAAACTCTGGTTATTTGAACCTAGAGGAACTTTTCAGCTGAGGGTTACACTGCAGAAGAATGGTCCACATATACTGTGGCCTAAACATGAATCTCCATTTCTCCATTTTCAGGTGGTGATAGCAGCACACCAAAACAAAATAATGTATGCTTTATTCCCTGATCTGCTGACAGCCAGCTGAAACGAAAACAACCGGAGTAGCCACAGTGAAGAAACCTCGACTAATAGCTGGCTTTTGTCTCAGTCAAAACGACTTAACTATGGTGCTATGCAAAGAACAAGTGCTTATACCCATCGGAAGGGTTTTTGAGGTTTTGCTAAGATTAGCTAGCAGAAGAACCAGATGAAAGTCTTGCCTTCCGTGCTCTATCAGCCTTATCCATGTAATCTTGATGCGACTGATGCTTTGACCCTGCACATTTTTTTTTTTACATATTTGGGTAAATCGCATGATAATGGCAGCCAACATTCATTAACTGCTAGTGGTAAAGGAATAGCAGATTGGCATCAAAGTACAAGCTACTCCTTCAAAGACGTTAGATGATAAGATTGGAACAATAGAACCAAGATTTGAATGTACAGAAACTGCAAACTCAACAGTCAAGTAACTATGAGGCCATAGAGAGTAATAAAGAACACATAGTTTTGATTTACACTTATACAGCTGCCATAACCTTTTTGTTCATTTAGAATTCAAAATTGAGTCTCATAAACAACTAGAAATGAGACGATTATTCCAAGTTTATGCCAATCGGGATTGAAGAAACATGTAAGATTTACTAATTTCTCCATCAAAGAGTCCAAACAACACATTCCTTCTGAATCACATCCCAGGATGCTCAAATCTCAAGCTAGCTAGAAGCACAAACGAACCAAATGCCCATTGATCAGTTCCAGAATCAGCATGAAGTACTGAAAAAGTTCCCCCCTTCAAACACTCAGTGTCCAACCAAGAAGATAGGTTCACTCCTTGAAACCGAGACCCCAAGAACTTAGGGCACAGCTAATACAAAATTAAGAATCAGTAAAACAATTTTCAGAAGACAAATTTCCTACCAAAACTGAGGCCCAAGTTGGAACTTTGAAGACAATCCTCACCTATCAAACTCAAACATATTCCTACAAATTGCGTAGGGAACAAAACAAAAGATTACTATAAAATGCCAAATCCAAATTTTCAACATGATGATCTTTATAGCTACTGATGTTCCCCATACAATAGCTCTGGTAAAACTACCATCATTCATTCTGATAATCAGGTACATATACTTTTTATAAAATACCAGATCAACTTGGCAGATAAATCATACACAAAGCTATCATAGACTTAGTTCTGAAAGAATATCAAATACATTCATATTTCCTATAAGTTTTTTTTATGAAAGTGAAAATATATATTTCCTATAATTTCATGTTGCAAACCCGAAAAATTCACTCAGTACAGAAGTTTATCAAATAAGATGCCATGCCTTGTTAAATTCAAGCAAAAAACAACAATACAGCATCAGATTCATGGCTCATGACATTAAGCTGATCATAAAAAGATAGCACCAGAGGAATTTTAAGGGATATTGAGAATCAAGAACCTGTCTAGCCACTGAACTACCAACATCTTGATCTTTCTAGCCACTGAACTCCACCATACCTTGGCGGTCAGAATGAATATCATCCCTTCAGCTAATCAAGATTCAATCAACCCTAAACATAAAGCAAAGAAGTATCTTTCTCCTTTATAAACAGTTGTGCCCTATCCCTCATAGCCCTCTTTAGCTTGTATCATCGTAGCGCTGATATATTATTAAACCCTTGCCTTGTCTACAATTACCAAAATAGTACCTAAACAGCTGTCCCACACACTAATTGTGAATTACCATCAATCGGTAAGATATGAACTTTTTCCGGGCAACACATACTACTTCCTTCATCAACTTATGGAATGGGAAACCTGAACCCCGTACCTAAACATGGATATCAGGTCCGTTCTTGCAAACATATCGTTAATATTCCTCACAAAATTATACAACCACAAACGATCAAAATGCATGCTTTCCCCCAATTAACTCACCAAGATATAATGCTTCCTTGCCTTACCATAATCCACACAGAACATCTGAAACTATACTACCAATCTCTTCGGCTAACTTGGAACCTCAAGAAAGAGAGCTCCCACAGAGAATCAAGAAGCATTTGTGGCGTTCATCACCTAAGAAAAAGTAACAAGGACCTAAAACAGTAAAACCTACGAAGAAATTCCAATTTTCTTTAACATTCACAGCACATTGTTCTTTGACCTTACGAGTCCTATCACCAAAAGCGTTAGAAAATTGGAAACTTGTCACCCAAACAACTCCGCCATTCTAATCAAGGAGAGATGATGGCAAGTACAGACTAACCATAATCAAGACACAGGCTTCCTAATCAGCTCAAGTTTCCAGTTCATTCTGCTATTATATCCCATAAACAGCAGCAAATTACAGCAAGCGAATAGGCTGAGGAGAGCGTGAGTTGTCAAACCTCTGTTCATGAGGTACCACGGGATGCCGAAGATGACAGATATGACAGCTATCCCAGCCAATACATGCTTCTTGTCTCCACTGTACATGGCATGTTCTAACTTCGACTTGAACCCTCCTCCTCCACCGCCATTTGGAGCGGTGTTGCCGCTGGATTTCGACTCGCTTCCCATCGCCGGTTTCTCCTTTTTCGCTACTACTGGGTTATTTCTCCTTCAGACGCCGACGCCGAGTTACAGCTCAACCCTAAGCAAAAACTGCAGACCGTGCTCACTTCCGCCTCCGCTTCGCCAAACTCTGTCTGGGCCACTCATCGAATAGCTAGTTAGCTACTAAACTTTGAGTTGCCAAGCAAATCAGTCACCAAATTTTAAGGGTTTGTTTGGATAGGAGGATTTGGATTTGATACTTGGAATTCCAAATGCTAATTTTTTTTTTTTTTGTTTGGAAACTAATTAGATATGGTATTTGGATTTGTACCAAATATATAAGCAATGCAGTCAAAATCGCGCTTTAAAACTTAAAAACTTACTATTTTACGCTTTTAGGTCACCAAAACGCTTTCGTTTTCATATAAAAACTTAAGTGCATAAAATCGGACTAAATTGCGCTTTAAAGCTTAAAAGCTTACGCTTTTATGCTTCTAGTTCACCAAAACGATTTACGTTTTTACGCTTTTAGTTCACTAAATGAGTATTCTTTTCATGAAATTAATTATAAAAAGTATATTTTAAAAGTAAATCACCAACAATATGATGAATTTGAGATTAAAAGATACATACCAGGTACTTTGATGCATTCTTAACTTCAATAGAGTAATCTAATTCACCAGCTAGGTTCTTCCCGAATTCATTAGCATATAGGAAAAGGTGGCTTATTGTTAAGATTTATGTTTACGAACTTATTATGTAGATGTTATAAGTTGCTCTACTTTAGGCATGAATTGCATGTATTTATTAACTTATATAAATTCTGAGCATTCATATTTTACACAGTATATGTCCTACTTAATAGATTTTTAGTTATTTTTTAGTATGCGTCAAAAACTTACGCTTTTACGCTTTGATTCTATGCTTTACGATTTTACCCATTTTCCGCTTCTAGGTAGAATCACGCTTTTAACTGCATTGTATATAAGTAAATTTTAAATAGTGTATTATTTGTGAATTTAATAAATATAAATAACTAGTGATTAGAAATTTCTCATGACAACATATTGGATCTTTTTATAAAAAATTTAAAAGTTTGGGAACTATAGTGAAATATTAAATATATAAAGGTACTAAAATATAATATTACCACAAAAATTTCTGGACTTGTTTGTATAAAAAATAAAGTTTAGGTTCTAATTTGTAAGAATTTAAATTTGGGATACTAAAAACAATAATTGTATTGTTTAACAAAAAACTCATAATTGAAAAAATAAATACCCAAACAAACAATTTGAGTTACATGTATATGAAATGTATGTATTTATATATAAAAAATAAATATATAAACGATGAAGTGTATATGGTTTGTTGTGTAGAACTACAACTACACTTTCACTCGATGCTCATTAAAAATAATTATCTTTCTCTTTTTCATTTATCTAAAAGGCATGTTTATTGCTCGATTATTCATTTATGAAAAATGTTGTGTTACTATCATGCCAAAAAGTTAAAGTGCATCTCGAAAAAGAACTCTAACACTCCATCTCACTTTTTATAAACAAGAAAAAGTCAAACTCTGAGACATCTTTCGATGTAGTAAGAATGGCAACTCAAAGATTGCACGAGTTACATAACGCTAAGGAAGGCTTCTTCCAACAGAAATCAAGAACCCAATGGCTTGCAGTGGGGAATACAAGTTCTTCCTTCTTCCACAAGACAGTGAAAGTTTGTATGGCCCGAAAACAAATTCGAAGACTGGTTCTTTCTCTCTAGAAAGGTGATCAATATTATTGAATATATTGCAGCAGCAACAGTTTCATTCTATAAGTTTTTGTATGGTGTTCCCAATGATGAGGTTCAACTGCGATTAGATACATCAAACCTTATATACGGAAGAAGATTTGTATTATTTAGCAGCAATGGTGAGATCTGAGATTCTCTTTTCTCAATGGATCCTCGAAAAGCACGAGGCCCTGATGGTTGGTCTACAAACTTCTTTCAAAAAAGCTCTAAAACTATGGGGAGTGGTATTATTGTATTGGTGAAAGAGTTCTTTCATATGAATAGGCTACCAAAGGTATCAATTATGCCTCCTTGACTTTGGCTCCCAAAACAATCAATGCTAAGAGTATGACTGCATTTAGACATATAACTTGTATAAACATTCTATATAAAATCATTGTTAAGGTCTTAGCAAACTGAATTCAATCAGTCCTCCTAGTTTGATTAGTCAGAATCAGCCAACGTTGATTAAGGGGAGAAGTATCCTAGATGAGTCTTCATGGCACTATAATTGGTCCAAAACTACAACAAAAAAGTATGTAGCTTCTCGCTGTGTTGTTAAGATAGATCTTTAGAAAGCTTTTGACTCTATTGATTGGAAATTCTTATTCTGTGTGATCGAGATTATGAACTTCCCGAGAACATACATTGATTGGATTAGAATTTGTCTAAGTTCACCCCATTTTAGTGTCAGTATCCATGGCTCTTTATTTGGATATTTTACTATTGCCCTAAACACTGTTAAGAGAATTCTTGGTAAATTCCATGGTTTTCAACCCGCGAGTTGGCCCCGGCAACAAAAACGGGTGCAAAATACCCGGTGAACCTTTAACAATCCCAATCAATGGTTTTTTGGGGAAATTGATGTCCCTATGCTTTATGTCATCTTTTATCTTTTCCGTAGTGATCAGTGTATGCACGTAGCATCACCATACCGCTTGAAGGATGACAACAGGAGATACTATTACCTTAACATGAAACTTAGTCCGACGGGTGCGATAGCCTCGAAAAAGTCTAACCCAGCCAAACCCGGTCAAACCCGGCCAAAACTGGACGGGTTGACCCTCCAAACTCTTCCGGGTCCTTCCTTCCTTGGCCTGCCTTTTCAGTTTCTCTCTTCGAGACTTTTTTTTTATTCTTTGGAACTTGCACAACGGAAAGATAATTACTTTTTTTATAGGAAACCTGGGATCTTAAATTAATGGAAATCAGTTCTGCCCCAAAGTGTCATGTCCCAAGTCGGCCTCAATCAGAGAACCAAGCAACAACGGAGGATTATCCACCCAAACAATCTATTGATCCCAACCCAAACCAGCATGAGCCAACCAATGGTCCAATGAGTTGGTCTTTCTCGGAGTAAAGCTCCACCTAACTTTTTTCCCAGTCAGAGATTCGTTCACCCTTGCCACCGACCTTAGCTCATCGCTCCAGACTCCCATCTCAGTAAAATCTTCTATTCCATTCTTCAAGAGATTCACGAGCACCTGGCAATCAGATTCAACAATTAGAGGGCAGAGTGCTCTTTGATTTGCTTCCCTCAGACCCATAATCAACGCCTTCGCTTCCGCTTCGATCAGCCGGATTACTCCCCTTTCCTTCCTCGCCATATCACCAACAAATTCGCCCCCGCCAGTCACGAACGATGCATCCCAATCCAATCCCCTGGTTCTGGATAACGCCCGCATTAGAATTCAGCTTATAGAAGCCCTCAGGAAGAGGGGTCCAGTGGCAAATCAGTGGAGGACGATGCCGAGGAGGACATGCAAGAGAGCTCAGATCTTGGGACGCATTTGCCGCCAGGAACGAAGAGAGCCAGGCTAGAGCACGCGGGACAATCTCATCCTCATCTAGCTTTCGATTATTGAACTTTTGATTGCATCTCTCTTTTCATAGGTACCACAAGATCGAACTGAATCTTTGAATTCTGTCTTCCGTGAACGTTTTGAGTATCTCCTTCATCCAGTCATAACATAATTTCCCTTCTCCTTTCTCAAACAGCTCTACTTCTTCGTAGCCCCTCCAGCGTCTACGGATCCATTCACAATCGCGGAAAGATAATTACCAATGGCGGGGAAAATGAAAAAGTAAAAACAGATAGATAGCAGAATAATTTAATTTTTGTTTGGTTATATTTTATTAAAACTAGACAATTGTGTCTATCCAAAAGAATAACAAAAATAGTTGGCAAGAGGATCGCTTCCGCTTAGCTATTGCCCGTATCATTAAATTGACTACATTTGAATTGAATATTTTTAATTTTGTAATTTGAAACTCTATGTTTAATATATGAAAATGAACGTTATGAGTTGGATTTAAATATGTTTTAGTTTTACTATATACTATATTTTAATATGAACTATTGTTTTAATGTAATATTATCTGTTATTGCACAAATTTACTATAAGACTTGATATCATTTATATATGATATTAAATTCTTCCACCTATTCGGGCTAACTTAGAAAAAATTGGCCAGCCCATTAATCCTTCACCCACTAGCTCGACTGGGTCAACGGACCAAACCGAGTTGACAACCTTGATTGTTAATAATCATTTGAAATTTTGGATGGTTTACGTGGAAGAGGAATTTCAGATTGGTTATGTTTTAGATTGATGTTATTTAAGTGTGTTGCAGTTTAGGTAGTATTGCATTTTTTCTATGTTGAATTCACGATAAGTACAATCTAATGACACTTTCAATATTTTCGGGCTAAACCGGGCTAAAATGGGTGACCCATTAACCCTTGACCTACTAGCTTGTCCGGATCCGGGTCGCCCTGCGGGTTGACAACCTTGGTAAATTCTATTTGGTATCTGGTCTTCGTTGCAATCCACATAAGTGTGAGGTTTTCTTTGTGGGAAATGCTAGGGAATATAAACAAAATGCCCTGAATATTTTTCAATTTAAACATGACAAGCTACCAGTTAGATATTTAGGACTTCATCTGATTTATGGGAAACTTTTCCAACAAAGAATGTGAAGTTTTAGTTGATCGTTTGACGAGTAAAATAAGGTCATGAAGAGCAAAAAAAAAGTCTTATGTTGGTAGGTTGCAGTTGATCTCCTCTGTGCTTAACTCTGTTGTTTCATACTGGATGACTCTATTTGTCTTGCTTAGGAAAGTTCAAAAGAAGCTTCACAAAATATTCTCTGATTTTCTATTACACTGTGATGGAATTGGAAAAGCCGAGGTGGCATAGGACACTCTTGCGAGCCCGAAAAAGGAAAGAGGTTTCAGTCTAAAAGATCTCCATACTTGGAATATAATGTATAGATAGATTTTTATGGTTGTTGTTCTTACAGGGTGGCAGCTTTTTGATTGCTTTGATTTACAGATACACGTTAAAAGATCACTCGATTTGGAGTTTACAACCAACTCAAACGGGATCCTGGATTTGAAGACACTTTTTAATGC